TTAAATCACTGACGGAGAGTGACGGTGTTAATTCTGCTATGAAATCACACTTAAGATGTGATTTGATACTCATAAGTTAAACAGATGTTAATGCAAGTTAGTGTGAGTGGATAGGGAAAGGGTGTAGCGGATTCTTATCTGGTCTGAAGTTAATACAGCCACGGAGAGATGCTGGGGTCGTGGTAAAGCTGTCCATCCACGTCCACAGCGTGAGAGCCCTTCTGGATGAAGCCGCGTCGGATTGGGAAGAGGACCCTGCGTCGTTCCAGGATCTCTTTTGGGAACTGGTCGTTCACGCTGAAGTCCGTTCCTTTTAATTCCCTGCCGCAACTTTTCACCTGTTCCTTTTGTTTGAAGTGGCCAAATCTGGCCACAATAGGACGTGGTCTCCCGGTCGCAGCCCGCATGGGGCCGATGCGATGCACTCTATCAAAGGCGATGTTCTTCACCGTGTCCTCCGGCAGCTTCAGGTGGGTTTTGATGAAGCTTTTTACTGTAGTCTCTGCGTCCTCTCCAGCGGCTTCTGAAGTACCAGAAAATACCAGATTATCACGTATGCCACGAGTTTGTAGATCAATAACTGTCTCTTTCATTTTGTTATTTTCTCTATTTAGCTGGGTAACATTCTCTGTGAGACATTTCACCAACTCCCTTAGCGTGGCATTTTCAGCAGCGAGCGTTTCCACCTGCTGCTAATTCTCGCAAGCAGTTAAATTCTCGGTGAAGAATCTCCACCAAGGACTGTCATGGCCCTGTGCCTTCTCGGCTGACTCTGTATGGCTACAAGTGTTTCTGTTGTGCTGCGTCTCTCTCTCCTCCTGCGCTCTACCGGGGCGTAGTCATGACGACTCCAGCCCCTGGCTCAGACACCTGCAGGCAATCGTCTCATCACCACGCTCACTTCTTAAGGCAGCTGCCGAGAATGCTTCTTCGCTGGATTATTGTGTAACACTTGTCAGTGTCATTGCAAGTCTGAGCTTTTCCACGAGTTTCTTTCGTGCCGCAACTTACCTGTTCTTCCTCCCTGTGCCAGACTTCTCGTCAGCCTGAGGACCGCTGTTTGGTGAGCTAAAGCCTGAGCATCAGCGAAGGATTGTGTATATAGCCCCGTGTGTCCCCTTCCCGTGCCTGTGTTCTCCGAAGACCCTCTTCCCGTACCCCCTCACCTGTATATATCTGCACCTGGTGTCTGTGTAAAATAAATTGTGAAACTTTACAAAGGGTCTGCCTCTGAGTTTCTCCTGAGCCTGACAAGGACAGCCTTGCATTGAAAATGGACAATCGTTTGTCGATTGACTCCAGTATGTCGGCAATATCTTTGCCGGCTGGCGATGTTGTGCCGAGGGAATCTGCCGGGTAAAGTCTTTTCGACGACGGTGTCTCAGATTTGGCTGGGGAAGCACTCTGGGCCTTCTTCATTACAAGATCCTGGAAGCACTGATTGATGTAATCTTGGAGAGCCTCTAAACTCTCCCCGTTGTCAAGGGTGTTGGAGATGATTTAGACAAATGTTGTTAGTTATAAGACAATTGATAAGTGTATTTGGTAATACTGAAGCTTAAAGGAATTTGTTCAATTCTAAACTACCATTCGCTTTAATTTTCCGCCAAAATCTCTGGCGTCTGACGTCAGTTACAACATGAGTCGCTTACCTTGTCCGTCACTTCCGTCACTTAGAATCAGCTTTGTCTTTCTCGGCTTTCTCACCAGCTCTCCTGGTAAGAAAGCCGTTATAGATTATAGAGTTAAAAACTCATTATAGAGTTAAAATTATGCAGAAGTCCTGGCTGAGATGTTAGTTTCATGCTGCAAATGTTTTGTTGTGACTGTAAATTGTTATTGACCTTGTCAACGTGTTTAACTTACTGTTGGGTAACATGTGATTGTAGTTATGTATTAAAACGTTTACTACCAGTGTACCTCTTTGTGTGTGACAC